GGGTTAAAACGTACGTACGGGATCCAGACCGGATATCACCCACCCGACAAATCATTGTTCGGTTGGTACGTAATCCACATGACTCATAGGGTGGATTATCGATTCTTGTGTTCTGCATTAAACTATTTATAGTTTAAGGGCCTGGTTAGAAATGTTGCCTTAGACTAGGAATAGCTAAGAGCTTGTTATAAAATGATTTGGCCTTAGATTAAGAATAATTTATGAGCATGGTTGAGATATTGAATATCAAATGACTTGAAATAAAATATTGAGAATATCATGAATGTTTGAATCATATATTGTGTGCATGATATCAAATGGTTGATTATGAATTGAGATTCAATTTATTTGGATGTTTGACGTTTTAGATATGCTTACTCAGCTTCACCGCTGAGCGTGTAGTGTGTTTTATTTACTACACGCAGGTAAACAGAAAGATTAATGTGATCCTGGCGGCCGATGGGGCGAGACTGTCAGGATGGATGTGACAAGTTTTGAAATTATTTATGATATGTCAATATTAAATTCGCTTCCGCAATATTGTTAAATACTCCGTACTGTATATGTTATGAAAAATATTATTGAGATTAATAAAGTGTGTTTGAAAAGTTTTAAATTTTGCGATTACCAAGTTATATACTTTAGTCCGAATGGGGCTGCAGACCTGGACGGATTAGGGTGTTACACATAAGGGTTTGATTCTTTAAAGTGTAAAATGGTTTGGATATTCGAGTTTGGTGTTGTTTGGTGTGGTTTGGTTGTTTGGGTGTCCACACAAACACCACATTGGCGTTGTTATGTTTTGTGTTGTGATTAGGCATTGTATCCTTGCTTACGAGTATTTGTTTTTGGTTTTTTTTAAAGGGGTGAAAAAAAGTTCCAAGCGCAGCAAGAAAACTGTTGTAATGGCTTCACCGATTCGAAGAAGCGGTAGATTGCAGCTTGCAGAGATTAAGAAAAGGCCAAAAGTACACGCAGCGCATGTCGAATTGGGCGAGGATGACGAAGATTCTGTGGAAGATGGTGGTGCAAATGGGAATGAGAATGCTGGTTCAGATTGTTGGGAAACGAGGCTTGGATAACGCAGCGGATAACAAAAATTTATAGTCCAAAACTCGATTCCACCCAAGAACAACTTACGTAAATTACTAGCTATAGTAAGAAATTTACCTTAACGGTGAAAACGAAGAACGGAGGAACGGTCGGGGATGGTTTTGAGGAGATGAACGTAGCGCCAAACGTATGAAGCCTCCAACGTTTCCACACGAACTTGCTCCGGACTCCAAAATTAAACTTGTGCTAGCAAGTTTAAAATAGGATTGTAAAAACTATAATAATACTACTTTGGGAGTAATAAATATATAGTAAAATATTTATCTTATAAATATTTTTATAATATTTTGTGTATATTTCTAACACTTTAGAAAAATAACTTGTAACACAAAATAATAATTTTTCTCCTCTCCTCTATATATGGCCGAAAATCACACACATAAAAATGGGGAGGGATACTCACACTATATAATACAATGTATTAAGAAAATGCTAGGAAATTGCTTAGGGACAAAAACAAATTAGGCTTAATTCATTGTTCCCAACCAACACAACAAGACAAGTATAATTTTGTTAATCAAATATTTGATTATATCAATCAAATATATCATTAGGTAGAAAATCAATTTATGTCTTGTATTTTTCCCTTTGATATTTTCGGCCAAAGCATGTTAAAATACATTACATTTTATTTTTACATCAATAATTATCATATAATTAAAATGATGAAAATAAAAGTAATATATATATATATATATATATATATATATATAGATTTTGGTTCTGGTGAGAATGCAATCTTAGGAGAGAAATGAGAATGAATGTGGTGCTTTAGATTGTGAGATCTAAGGGTCATGATTTCATCAAAATTAGATGCACCAAAATGGTGCGAAAATGCATCACGTCGAAATGCACCATAAACCTTCGAAAATGCACTATCTCAAAATCTGAGCGCAAGATGCAATCTGAGCCGCAAGATGCAATCTGAGCCGCACGATGCATCAGATCCGACGGCTAGATTTTATTCTCATTTCTCTCCACAAGATGCATTCTCACGGGAACCGGCCCCTATATATATATATATATATATATATATATATATATATATATATATATATATATATATATATATATATATATATATATATATATATATATATATATATATATATATATATATATATATATATATATATAT